TTAGGAGTCATAAAAGAGTGCAACAAACGCCTCTCAGGTTTACTCTCTACTAAATTTCAAAGCAGCTGTCAAGAAGTGTCTACAAACGTTGTATAAGAGCTTTCACCAAAATAATAAAGCTTGAGTTTAATATGTATCTATAAACGTTGTATAAAAGTTGCTTCTACTCCTATACCGCGTATACATATAATGCTGTAGTTGAACAGGTTCTCCAAACCAGTGCAAACAAGAGTTTTACAGAAGTTGTAATAAACAAATTGTACAGTTATTATTCAGCATGCAGTTGAATAAAATCACAATGGAAGCGTTTCTTCAACAAGAAATTGATTTTGGATAAACGTTTTACTGAATACGTTAGACAACACCTTTGTGTTGCAGTTGTATAGGTTCTCCAAACCAGTGTAAACAAGGGTTTTATAAAAGTTGTGGTTAACACATTGTGCAATTATTATTCAACTTGCAGCTGAACAAAATCAAAACGAAAGCGTTTCTTCAACTGGAAATTGTTACTTGGGAGGCCCGCCTGCTCAAAGGTAGCCAAACGGAGAAGAGTGAAGTTCGCTATTCCACGGAGCGAAACTTTTCCGACGGTCGCAAATCAACCGTCGACGAGGTCCTTTTTCCGCTACAACCCCTTGTGGACCATTCTTTCCGAGAGCGCGGACCGTTTGAGTGCGTAGCCAAGAGCGTACTACGGTCCGGATTCAATCCAAGGAGAAGGATGGGTTTCATTCCATCCCGGGCGGTCATAGCGGAAGCTTAGTACGCGAAGCCGTGCGGCGGTAAGTTGGCCCTCTTTTCTCTGAGGGGCGAATCTCCCGGGAAAGCACGACTACGGTCGATGCTCAGCTCTCGACGTATTAAATCGGAAGCCTTCCGTCCAGCCGCCACTCTCTCCGCAACTCTAGTTCGGCCATACTGCGCACGGGTCACCTTCATCGCTGCTCGCCATACTGCAGCTCATGTGCGGCGCCATCACGCCTCGCCGCCATCGCCACGCTAACTGGAAGGTCACCTTCCGTCGCCATCATCGAGTCGTCGTTCTTCGCGTCGAAAAACCTGTGCAGGTATGTTAGAGCATGTTTTTATTCCTGGCCATAATTTGCTCTTTTTCCGTACACTCATCCAGAAGTCCAACCCGAATAAACGAACTCAACAATAGTGTTTAATGAAAATTGAAGATTAGTTTTTTATGCTTTAGAATGTTTTTTTCCCAGGAATAAAAGACACTCGCTATCTTACGTTCAGTTTTTCCTTCGACTACCGCTCAGTTGAGTAAGAATTCCTTCTTTCTTTTTCCGTTTCGTTCATGTTCTGGGTAAGTCAGATTAATTCTTTCGTTCCGATAATATCTGCGGTTTTACAGGTCTTGGCGTTTTACTTTTGATATTAAAGCTAGTTGTGCCATTAGTAATCGGAAACCGTTCAAGAGGTTCTCTGAGATAAGGTCTCATAAATCGGGCAAAATTCGAAACATGACCAGTGGTCTCTCCTAATTGAGAGTGGCGCTTAAGCCACTGAGTTTTACGAAAACCTCAACGAAAATTCGTGAACGGTTACACCCTTTTATATAATTTCTACGTCAGAGAAATTGACAATTGTCTAAGTGACAACTGCACGTTGAGACAACTTGCAGATGACGGAGTAGTGTCTATGACAGGGCCCAGAGAGGCCGACCTGCAAGGACCCTTACAGGATACCTTAGACAATTTGTCTACTTGGGCTTTTTTTTTATCAGTGTAGAGCAGTTTATTGTTTATCAGTCAACAGGTAAAATGTTTACCCCAATGACACCTGTTCTACAACTAAATACAAAACTAACGAATAACATAAATTAACATAAAACTTGTTTAAAACTACGCTTGTTTGTTTCTCGTGACACGTTGAAATCGTACACATAATAACACCGGTTGAATACACGGGACATGCTTCGCAAAGGTTCGTGAAAGCCATAATTAGTTCTTGCCGGAGGGATGGTGATAAACGAGTGCGACCGAAGATTGCGACGACGTGCGTTGATGTCCAAGAAACTAAGAAGCGTAGGACTGTCAATGTTGCCTTGCAGAAGATCCCCAACAAAGCACGCTTTTGCCACGTTGCGTCTTGCTTCTAGTAATTACAGATTTATAAGTAGACAACGGCTTTCATAACTGGGCAGGTTGAATGGACCTCTCCACCTAAGATGACGTAGAGCGAACCGGACGAATTTTCGCTGAACAGCTTCGATGCGTTGAGTTTCATTCTGGTAATAAGGAGACCAGACGATAGACGAATACTCCAAGATAGGGCGCACAATTGAGCAGTATAAAGCTTTTAGGCAGTAAACGTCCTTGAACGTTTTTGCAAAGCGAAATAAAAATCCTAGTTGCGATGAGGCTTTAGACACAACGTACGCGACGTGATCCTTGAAGGTTAATTTTGTATCAACCAGCTATCCAGCTATCCAGCTAGGTATCGAATTCTCCATGGAGAAAACTGAGTTGGTCGTTTTTTCTAGGAAGCATAGCCCAGCACAACCGAAGCTTCAACTTTTGGGTAAGCCGATCACTCATTCCATGTCTTTCAAATATCTTGGGGTCTGGTTCGATTCCAAATGCACCTGGCGACCCTACATTGAGTATCTGAAGCGGAAATGCCAACAAAGGATCAATTTTCTCCGTAAAATTACCGGAACGTGGTGGGGAGCAAGACCTTCTAACGTTGTATCGGACAACGATTTTATCGGTTTTAGAGTACGGTAGTTTTTGTTTCCAGTCGGTGACTAAAACTCACATCATCAAACTGGAACGGATCCAGTATCGCTGTCTTCGTATCGCGTTAGGATGCGTGCACTCGACTCATACGATGAGTCTCGAAGTGTTAACGGGTATTTTGCAACTCTCTGATCGGTTTTCGGAATTATCCCTCAGGCTCCTCACCCGTTGTGAAATTATGAACCCACTGGTGATTGCAAACTTTGAGAAGCTTCTTGAGCTAAACCCTCAAACTCGTTTTATGTCATTGTACTACGTGTACATAACTCAGGATGTCAGCCCTTCACAGCATAATCCCTATCGGGGTTGCTACTCCGACTTCGGAAATTCTGTTCATTTTGATTTATCGCGGAATCCCAGAGCATCATCGTTCCATGATTGTTCCGTCAATATTCGCTGCAAAGTTTGGCCAAGTTGATTCCACAAGATCGTTCTTCACAGATGGATCACTAATAGAGGCGTCCGCAGGTTTTGGTATTTATAACGAATTTCATAGCGGCTCTCGAATGCTTCATGCTCCTTGTTCCGTATATGCTGCTGAACTGGCGGGAATACATTATACGCTAGAAACGATCGCCTCACTTGCACCAGATCATTATTTTATTTTTACGGATAGTCTCAGTTCTGTCGAGGCTATTCGCTCCATGAGGCCGGTAAAGCACATCTCGTATTCTCTCATGAAAATACGAGAGCTTCTAAGTGCCTCATCTTTATGATCTTTTGTCATCACCTTTGCATGGGTCCCATCTCATTGCTCGATTCCGGGCAATGAGAAGGCGGACTCGCTTGCAAAGGTGGGCGCTATGGAAGGCAATATTCACGATCGACAAATCGCCTACAATGAATTTTTCTTCATTTATCGTCAACAGTCACTCGCCAGCTGGCAAAATAAATGGAGTGAAGGGAGTTTGGGACGATGGTTATATTCAATCATCCCTAAGGTGTCGAAGTGTCCTTGGTTCAAAGGTTTGGAGGTGGGTCGAGACTTCATTCGTGTGATGTCTCACCTCATGTCCAATCACTATTGGCTAAGCGCTCACTTGTTCCGTGTTGGGCTGGGGGACAGTAATATCTGTGAATGTGGACAAGGTTACCAGGACGCAGATCACATTATTTGGTCATGTGCTGAGCACCGTGGAGTCAGATCCGAGTTGTACGATTCCTTTCGGGCCCGATGTAGACAACCTAATGTTCCAGTTCGGGATATTTTGGCTAGACGCGATCTGGAGTTTATGCAACTCATCTATGTTTTCTTTAAGAATATCAACCATAGATTGTAAGTTTGATTAACCTTGTGTTTAGTTTGTATTTTGTGTGTGTGTGTGTGTGTGTGTGTGTGTGTGTGTGTGTGTGTGTGTGTGTGTGTGTGTGTGTGTGTGTGTGTGTGTGTGTGTGTGTGTGTGTGTGTGTGTGTGTGTGTGTGTGTGTGTGTGTGTGTGTGTGTGTGTGTGTGTGTGTGTGTTTTTTTTTTTTTTTGTATATTTGTTTCTGTAATAATTGTATAATTACAGAGTTGATATAACGTCGATAGGATTAAGTATATGTTTTAGAAATAGTGAATTTTTTTAATCATAAATCAAAATCATAATCCAAATCTCCTTTTCTCTCTCCTTTCCGAACAATTGTCATCCACTGACCTCGAGAAGACCGAGAGTAATCGGTTAAATCCTTTAATTTTAGATTTAAGACATTTATAATGTATAAAGAAAATGATAACTTGGCTCTGTAAAGTTTATTCGATTGAGCCTGTACAAATAAAGTAATTAACAAAAAACAAACAATCAGTTGTAACTTGCTAACTAAACTTAACTGACTCGACAAAAATTTGAAATAAGAAAAAATTAACAATCGTACCATGTGACGTGTACCATTGAACCACAAAAAAGGTCACTAATATCCTCACCTGCAAAACATCAAAATCACCAAATCATTACAAATCTAGCGAAATTTATTGCTTGAAGAGTTAAAAAATGACTTATAATTTAACCACATCTCAAAGCGTACCGTAAAACGGAGTGTAATTAATCACTGACTTTGCGCAGGAATTTCTGAAAAAAGTGGTGTGTGGAGCCCTGAAATACTAACTCACTGATTTATGTAACCTCTGCCATGAAGTTTATAAAATATTACAGAAATTTGGAGCAATCATCACGCTTTAAAGGATAAATAAATGATAAACTAATATTGCATCAGATCAAATCAAACATTGACGCTTCGGTATCATTTCTTAAAGTATGCGTCACTCACCTGCGATTGCCAGTTGTTTTATGAAGAAATTCATCCTAGATTTCCGGTTCTTGTTCAAATACAACGTCACCAGCACAGCCACATTCCCTAGCACAATCACTACAAATAGAATCCATAATACTGCAAATTGTTCAGTCTGAAACGGAAATGAGAAAGAGAAAAAAAAATTCGATAAGAAATCGACATTATTCATTCGCTGGGGCAATTCTTTGTTGACGTTTACAGCATCGCAATTCGCGATACCCAAATCTTATATGCTTTGTTCTTATTTCTGGCATTTTACGTTTCTCTCGAAACGTATGCATGCACATATCGCAATATTTTTATAATAATTTTCAAAGCCTACCATTGAGAGATTTTGTAAACTGAGCGGTAATTACTTTGAAACCCAAAGTTCGGAATCCATGCAATCTATGTAAATCAAAGGTGCATGTGCATGCTTTGTTATGATGCTCAATTTGATAATATGAGAAAGGTGCATAACTGAACAAAACTTATTCCCTAGAAATTGTGGAGACTAACATACAGCAGAAACGTCGATTAAACATAAACGAATATGTGAGGTGATGTTCTGTTAGCATAGCATAAGTAAACAATACCAACAAGAGTCAACCTTAGGCAAGCTCAAATAACAAATATTGTTCTTAAAATATTGCTTTCAGATAAGACCGCTGACTGCTGACTCAAAAAAAAGAAGATATTTATGCCAACTATGGGAGCTGCTGCAATCATGAAGAAGATTACTAGAAGCTAAATTCAACATGGATCATAATTTATTTTGCATTGGTATTCTCAAAAGTTTCATAAATGTTGATATTGAAGAAAACAAGATGAATTCTGAACAAGAAGGTGTTCATATAGCCGGTCCTCAGCAAATCTTTCAGAATATCTAGACACTTTGTCGTAGACATGGATTTTTTTTAAGTCAATTAGGGCTTAATATGCTCTCGATGCCACGTATATTTTATGACGAACCTTAAGTATCATTCATGTTCATCAAACAAAATCATTATGTTACAAAGTGGATGTAATATTGAATAGAAAAATTAATTGACCAGATTAAAAACCATTGGTGCACTACGACACAGTGCCATGCAAGACCATGGAAGACTTTAAAAGTTGTCATGAACTGTGCAAGTGCTCACTGAACACTGAGTTAAGAGCAGGCTTAAAACTAAGTAGGAATGTAGTAATCCATTAGAATAGGGAGCTGTTTCAACATATTGTTTCCATTTGGACCGCCCTAGTTAGCATGGGCTATGCGCAGTGGTCAGGCGTCATAAATACATAGTGAAGGCAGCACATACAAGGGAAACAGTCGTAAGCAAATTAATTCATGCTCTTTGATAAGGCAACCTGGATGAATGTTTGAAAATGGCTTATTTTCATAGCTTTTCTCAGTGATTAATGTATAGTTGTTCATCGATTGTGGAGCGGAACATGATTGATTATATTTATTCCAAACAATTAGTATGTTATTGACCAAAATTTTGGATTTTGTTTAGGTTTCGCCATTAAGTTAAGTAAGTCATTAAAAACAGACGATAAGAAGGAAGTGCAGTTCTCCGATATAATCAGTTTCGGTCTTGATGTACTGTGAGAAGCATATTTAAATAACATAAGAAAGCGTGTTAAACCGTATTCGCTGAAACGATGGAATCGGCTACAAGGTATGTACTTTTTCTTTAATAAATTCTATAACAATGGTAATACATGGTAAATCTAAAACTACCAGTTGGAAATGCTATTCTTCATATTTGAATGAAATTAAGGGAAAAAGAGATTACTAGAAATACAACATCTTCTGTTCAAGCCCGAGTAGAAGAAAAACAATAACAATAGATAAGTTTGACATTAAAAATAAGAAATCTGGAGAACTCTTTTTGTTATTGGTTTGATCGATATAAGAGGTGAAGTATCAAAAATAACATAAGAAAACCTATGGACTGGTAATTGAATAATATCAAAATAAGTTATTGACAATCATGAACAGAGTTTCAATAGCAAAAAGAGTTACTCCAGAAATATGAAATGTAAAAAGAGCTACATTCAACGATTCTTGGAACCTAGTTGTCTGCATGACTGTTTCAAGTACTGACCACTTCTTGTTGGAGATAGAAGGGAAAATTGACAATGAAAGGTTAAAAAATGTATTGCATTATATGTTGGAGTTGTTCATTGTTGTTGGTGGTGTTTTTGCATCAATGGATGGAAAACTAACAAAACATGCATGAGTATGCTACTCATTGACGATTGAGCGATTTTTATGAGTTTTAAGCAGGAATGGTTTTTTGGCACACTGAGTATGACTGAGTGAAAATACATGAGAATCTCAAACGTGATATTTGTTTGACAGATTCGCACGGGAATTTATTCTTGCAGGTAGGTTCGGTGAATGAGATTTGAGAATGATTTACCGAATACTGGCCAAGATTCAGAGACGAAAATAAGGCATAACGAGTTTTGGATTTGTAGCAACGCTGAGGCAAATCAGGGAGGTCCGAAGTGAAAATGTTATACAATATAGGCCCAAGAATGCTACCCTGGGGAACTCCTGTTCTAACAGGTAGTCGTGCAGATTTGGAATTTTGATACGTTACCTGCAGAGTTCTGCCAGTCAAATAATTTTGAAATAATTTCATAATATAGCGTGGAAAATTAAACATTTTCAATTTTACAATCAGACTTTCCCACACTATCAAATACCTTTTTTATGTCTAGAATAGCAACTCCAGTTGGGCAGCCTTCAGATTAGTTTGCACGAATTAAATTGGTAACTCTTAAGAGTTGATGAGTAGTGGAATGTCCATGGCGCCAGTAGTGGAATGTCCATGATATTGCCGCTTATGAACATTTTTCAGACGGATCAAGAGCTGAAGATCTTCCTATTATAATTGAATCGAATTTAACCTTGCATTTTGGTACTGGGGCAGCTCTTGCTTCAACTTTAGAAGTAGTCAGAGATTCAAGGACATTATTAATTTCATCTTTGGTTTGCAAATGAATGTTTGGATCAAAGCTAATATTCCATAAATGTTCGATATTTCTCCCAATAAGTTCTATTGTAATTGAGAGTAGAGCTGTTGGGATTAGAAATCATTTCTTGGGTTATTTCAATTTCAATTTCAATTGGCTACAAAATTAACATGAATCAGTTAAGACCAAATCAATAGTTGAGGAATTTCTTGCTGAATAAAAGCATGTTGGGCTATTTGGACATTGAATAATGTAATAACCTGCAGAACAATCATCATACAGAGTATTACCATTGAAAATGCTTTGAGCATTTCTCCATGAGCGGTGTTTGCATCACCAATAATTAAGTATTTAGACCTATGACCGGTAGGTTTCTGAAGGTCTTCCTTGACAAAATCCTTATATAACTTTAAAAGTATGCTGTCTAAATTTGGTTTCGGCAGAATCTCCCAAAGTTTCCAAAACTTTGGTTTTAAATGAAGAAAGAATGTTATGTTTGATTTGTCTATGAACAATGATTCAACAACGATCTCAGCTCCGACCACCAGCCGGTGGTGACTGAAGTCGGTGTCAACGTGGTTCCTGCTAGAAGCTGCCTGCGTAAAGACTACCACCATGTCAACTGGGTGCAGTACGGACGAATGGTGGACAGCAACATCGACACCGTAGATGACATCCACCGGGCGTTGGAAGGACTCCGTGGCTGACGAGGCATGTGTTCGACAAGTTTCTGTGAGGGGTAAGTTTGTTGCCATTGGTTCCCACACCCAATTACTGATTTGGTTGAAAACTGAACAGAATGGACTCACTCCGTGAAAGTTTCGGGTGTGTTGTCCAGAATCTGGACGACCGCGCCAAGGTCCTGAAAACTCATCCCAAACCCGTTCCACCTCCCAGAGTCGATAATGATGACGATCGGCTTTTATTCACCCCACAGGAGAAAGCAAATGCGATCGGTAAGCATGTCGCTTCATCGCATTTGCTTGGCTCGACCATTCAAAGTCCGCTCGATGATCAGGTTGCGCAATGCGTTCAAAACCTAGATGCCTCCCCTTGTGTCGTGCCTCCGGCGGATATGAATACAGTACAACAAATTTGCTCAGCGCTGAAATGCACCAAGAACATGAAGGCTCCCGGGTTTGACGGGATATTCAACTTGATCTTGAAGAGACTCAGCATGAAAGTGCAGTCTTTTCTAACCGCTATCTTCAACAGATGCTTGGAACTGCACTACTTTCCAAGCATCTGGAAAGTAACAAAAATCGTACCAATCCACAAATCCGGTAAGGATCCAACATTGCCTTCAAGCTACAGACCAATCAGCCTCCTTTCAGCTAGTACGGGTGATGAATAACATCCGAAGTAACAAAGCTGTATCCATGTCTACAGCCATGGCTTTGCTAGACGTTGAAAAGGCGTTTGACAATGCTTGGCATGATGGACTTGTGTACAAGCTTTTAACGTCAACTTTCCATTACATTTGGTTAAAATCAACCGTAGTTACCTCCAGCACAGGTTGTTTAAGGTATCGTGGAATGGTTGTCTTTCAGACACGTTTTCCATCCCAGCAGGTGTCCCGCAAGGCAGTCTCCTGGGCCCCTTGCTTTACAGCGTTTACACTTCCGACATCCCTCCCTTTGGAGATTGGTGTTTTTACTGTTCACAGGTAATTACGCAAGATGGTGTGGCTTGGCAAGGATTCCTCGCGAAATAACGAACATACTTTAACGATGCCTTAACACCTTTGCTGATCATGCCACCACGTGGAAAATCAAAATTCATGCCTCCAAAACTCAAGCGATCATGTTCCTCCATTGGCAATCACCCAAACTAGAACCGGCTCCCTCTTGTAATGTAATCATGGATGGCACAAGGGTTGAGTGGTCTGCCGGAGTAACCTATCTCGGGATGATCGATGAAAAGCTTCTCTTCTGTTCCCATGTAGAAAACTGTAGTGTTCTGCCTTGGTTAGGTGTCTGTATCCGCTGATTTGCCGCAGATCCCGCCTCTCAAGGGTGAACAAACTGGCTGTCTACAAACAAATCATAGCACCTGCGATCCTCTACGCAGCTCCGGTGTGGGAATCATGTGCACAGACTCACAGGAACAAAATCCAGGTCGCTCAGAATAGAGTGCTGAGGATGGTACTTAATCGTCCTTTCGATATAAGAATTTCCGATCTCCACCTAGAGGCGAACGTCCCTAAATTAAATTGCTGACAAAATTGCTCGTGGACTCGAAATTCTGAGATTCACCTCCTGGCTAGAATTCACACTTTAGAAGAACGGAGAGTATTTATCCTGGAAAGGTACAGATACACCTGTCTGAGATCAGCTCAACACGTTATTAAGCACGTTAGGTTAGGTCATATTCGTAGTTAAGTAGGTTATCAAATTTTCTTTTTCTAATCAATCTAAATATTATCCCGATGCGTACCTTCCTCAAAGTTGTCCTTGTTCGCTTTCTACTCTCTATATGCAAGTTTCACACTGCCGTACTCTTACGGAACTATCAACTCTATACTTTCATTTCCTTATCTATCGTATATTTGAAACTATGAGAATTCAGATGTTTATTAACTGAATTAAGATAGGTGTAGAATTATTACAATAGTGTTCACTACCACTCAACTGTGTTGTTATGTTCATGTTTGTCAAAGACGTGACGTGCCCTCAATATTCGTCTACTAATAAGTTTAAGTAAGTTAATCAATAATGTATAATAATATTAATTCCTCACCTCTACTAGGGCCTCTACTGTACAGATACAGAGAATTTAATTTTTCATGTCTGTTATTATGCATTGCACGAATTTTTAGACTTCTGCGAGAAGATTTCAGTGACAGTTATGCTTGCGCACTCACTAATACTACTTAATCCTTATGTCAGACAGTGTTATGCAAACATTTTATTTGTATTTATCTCGTTCTCAAAGATTTATCTGACAGTTATTGCGCAATTTGCACCTTCTAAGACAACTGTGCAGAAAATTTCTGCACAGTGAATATTTTCGCACACCCAGCGTACACCTATCTCTTACTCACACAAAGGTAGCATTGCCCGATCTTTCTCTTTGACATAGCTAGGCTACATTTGTGTGAGTAAGAGATAGGTGTACGCTGGGTGTGCGAAAATATTCACTGTGCAGAAATTTTCTGCACAGTTGTCTAAGAAGGTGCAAAATGCGCAATATTATCAATCCGTAAACTGTTTGCTTGATTTAAAATTCACAAATTAGCTCTATATTAGACACTCAATTCATATCTTCTCACCTTTTTAGTACACTAAGCTAGTTTTTTAACTTCAACAAATGTATCTATGGATAATCACATCTAATCGTTTAGCAATAATCGCAGTTTTAGGGTTAGAATTCACAACACAATTTATAGTTACGATTAAACTTTACTCAACAAATACCTGATTAAATTTAACGATTAGTCGAATCAATTATCGCTTTGTCTAGCAAGATGTTGTTGTTTTTAGGCCGAGGTGAATAGAAAAACTCCTAACAATAGATGTTTATCGCAGCGTTCCCAGATATACCGATTTATTGGTATTTATACCGATTTCCGAATTAGATACCGATAAACAGATAAGGTTCCTAAGAATACCGAATTTTGAGATTTTCTACCGATATATACCGATTTTTTTTTTCAATAATGAAAATTATTATTGCCTGCCCGCGCTCGAATTTC